CAACATGGAGAGAGTATAGAGGTAAGAATAAAAATCAATATCAAAACGATATCATTATACCAAATATCATGAAAGTATTGCGAAAAAACTTTGCTGATAACTCATACAATGATAACCGACACGAGTGACAAAATAGTAACCTGATTGCAGAACCCTCGGGATTGAAAAAAATCTCGAGGAAATCAAAAGAAAAATCGCCCCTCACAGATACCTCAAGCGACAATGTGTGCGTAAAAACATTTCGTTAGTGAGAAGGAAAATAGAAGCGTTGGGTGCAGAGAGGGCATTTCTTGATTGCGGTGTCGCAGGATCTTCATTAACACTTCAGTCACTATAATTAAATCAAACGAATGAAATTCGTTAACATTTTTACTAGATTACCTTTACAATTTTAAAAACTAAAAATTTTAGAAAATTCTCTAAATAGTTTTTTCTCTTACGTATAAACTAACAATGAAGCTTCTAAAACACCGCAACCGAGAAATGTCTTTCTGAACCCAACGCGGGTCAATTGGACTGCATTTTGCAATTTGGAACTATAAATTCTAACTCTTATGGAAAAACACTTATAGGCATAGGGAAACTAATGGCACATACGTTGTTTTTAAACCCGGCGAGAATTTATAGTTCCGAATTGCAAAATGTAGTCCACTTTTTTCATGATATGCGCAACCGACTTACCAAAAACACGGAGTGATTTACATACGAACAATCTGACTTCCAAAATGACATCCTCGAACCAAATATCATTCTAGCATCACGGAAGGGCTACCGAAAGCGCATTGAATGACGACGAATACAAAGTGGCATTCACTATCAACTCTTAGGAAACTCAACACATTGTGGAATTGGACAGGATAAGTAGTGTTTCAAAATTAACAGTGAGGAACTACCGAACTTGACAGAAATATTAGCTCCTCAAAATCACAAGCCACTGTAGAGGTCTGAACCGTCACCTTCGATTTCACACACTTGACTACCTCAGACGTTTCACGTAACGTCTCCGATCAGTCCCTGGTAAGGTGGAAGGGGGAGGGGGGTAGGGGTGGCCAGATATGCCGAACATCCGCTCGACAGAATCCCTGTCTGGCAGTTTGGCGACCGGCCGGCGGCATCGGAGAAAATTCTCTTAAAGAGTCTCGGATGAGAAGGAAATCGGCAGTAAAAGAGAGATAAGAGTCTGGGTGTTGACAAAGAGGTGATGACAAAATACCCGTCGCGTCGGGGGAAAAACTTGGAAAAGGAGGGGCGGGGCACAGTCACACCTCGCCAAAACACGAATCTCAGTTGTCACGAAGGACAACGCTGCGCTGCCGTGCTAAAGCAAAACGTCGTATGTACCCTCAGCCGTTGCCAAATTTCCTTGGGTAAATCAGAAGTTTTCGGGGAAATTCGTGAATATTTTTCTTCCAATTTTTCAAAGAATTTTCTTCGTAATTTCGTCGCCTTCCTGACATAAGGGTGTAACTACACTCTGCAATGAACCCTGTCTTCCATACATATCGATGCTTTTCCGGGGTCACCTCAATGTGTAGTTACGCCCTTATGTCCGCCAAGCGACGATTTGATATTAAGGTGATTCGATGGACGTCATATTTTGTGTCAGAACGACATGCGATATATCGCGTCAATTGGTTCCATTTTTCAGCTACTCCTCATTTTTCTCCAATTTTGAGATCGCAATTCTGTTGTCAGGAGACTAAAGCACTCACTTACCAATTTTAACCCGGAAATTCAACGTTGTAAAAGCGTGGTTTTTTTAGAGAGAAAGTATCGCATTCGAGCGCAGTTTCGATATCAGTATCGAAAGCGATGTTTTCTTTCTGAAAAAACCACGCCTTTATTACGTTGAATTTCTTTGTTAAAATTGGTAAGTGAGTGCTTTAGTCTCCTGACAACAGAATTGCGATCTCAAAATTGGAGAAAAATAACGAGTAGCTGAAAAAATGGAACCAATTGATGCGATATATAGCATGCCGTTCTGACACAAAATATGGCGTCCATCGAATCATCTTAATATGCAATTTGCAAGGAGAAATTCGGCAACATTGAAATGAAGTTACGTTCTTTCGTGGGGAGGAGGGGGACGACAAATTGACGGAGATGGTTTCGACTCGACGATTAATTTATTTTACACAGTGTACATATGCAATTTTAATGGATTTCACCATCTAAATGCAATTTATTGCGATCAGTGCCACTTGATCAACCACATCTTCATCGAAACTGTACACTTTTGGGTGGTATAAGCAAGTGACTCACCGAATCATCACTGAGAGGTATATGAATAAAATTACTTCTAAGGTGACTTTCAAACAGATATCCTGAAGTCAAATATCATAAATATACCACGAGAAACGACTACACTGGAAAAAAAACACATTGGATCTAGAGTCCAGACTCTTAAAAACATCGACAAAAAAAAGTACTCTTGAGTCAATCAGAATCTAGCTTAAATCAAGAACCAAGCCTCTTAATTGAAGCGGATTTCGTTTTGATTCAAGCAAAAATCCGATTGAATCCAGAGTATTTTTTCTTGTCAAAGTTTTCAAGAGTACCTGGACTCTAGATCAATGTGGTTTTTTTTCCAGTGTAACAAAAACTCATACAATGACAACCGACAAGACTGAGAAAATAGCAGCGCGACCAAAATGTTAAAGAATAAAAAATATCCAGAAAATCAAAATGAACAATCGAGGGTGCAAATTGTTCTAGGCATCCGCAATTTTCTGCAACGCGCTGGGTTTTCGCAAAAAGGTCAACGCGTACCCGCTGGTCGAAATTTTATCGAGTTTTTTGTTAATTTTAGAATGAATGCCAAATTTGCATTACTTCACAAGAATTGAAAATCTGAAAACTGAAAAATCTACATAAAAATAACAATACTATTCTCAGCTTCCACAATTTGCACCCTTGTAAGCAATCGCCTGTGTCTCATACTACACGCAACCACACTCTCATCGATGATATGAAATTTTCAGTGATATACATATACATAAAGCAAGTAACTCACCAATTTCACACTGCTTACTCAGGGGCAAGAATGGCTTCCAAAACGACATCCTCCAGCCGAACATCATGACATTTTATCGCGTCACGGAAAAAAGGCTGTACCGGAAACTTTCACAATGGCAACCGACAAGAGTGAGAAAATAGTAACTTTACTGATATCGTGATACACAGCAAACTATCGAATCAGACAGAAAGGTAGAGTTTCAAAATCACAAGCGCATTTCTCGGGGCGACGAACCATCGAATTCTACAGAAAAATCAATCAGTTCCTCAAAATCATGAGCTACTGTACAGTCTCTCTCGGTTAGGTGTGCCCGACTGCGACACGTGCCTGAAGTTTCACTTGACGTTTCCGATCAGAACCGGGAGGGGGAAGGGGGGACTGTCACAGAGGTGACCAGCAGGCTGATTATTTTCCGCGTCGATAACCGAGTCGCTAAGTTAGCGACTCACGGATAACGACTGAATTCTAACGACGTCCTTTAGCCGAGCGATTATATACATCGAATTCCGCTGATCGTTACTCATCGTTCGATAACTTAGCGTCGTTAAGTTAACGATTTGGATCCCGACGTTGCCAACGTGAAAGAAAATAATAGACCATTAATGAACCAATCAGAGAGCGTTTATGATTCAAGCAGCGCTCCAACTGCGCGGCGGCGTAAGTTGAAAACAACACGGTTCCCCTAACCTCTTTTCTTCACGTCACGCGGGTTTGTTGTTGTTTACGTTTACAGTGTTCGAATTTCCTTCGTTTTGTGAGTGTGATTTTCATTATGAAGACTAGCAGCAGTAAAAGTAAAAAAACCAACAATAAGGCAGCTGTAGCTGGTGAAAAGAAACAAAGGATAAGGATTAAGGAAAAACAGAAGAAAATCCTCTTAGACTTCATGATTAATCACTCTATTTTTGCCAAGAGTGGCCTGCCTCCCGGCAAGCAGGCAGGAGAGCATGCTAGCCATATGTGGAAGCAGCTAGTCGATATGCTAAATGCTCACGGTCCCAAAAGGACACAGAAGCAATGGCAAAAGGTAAGTTTGCTATCATATTGACTCTCTCCGTGACCTAGTACTTGTGCCTTAAAGTGTCAGCTTAATCATGATGGCTTTCTTAAGTGACTGTTCTGCCAGAGCTCGTTGCAGATAACTGCCTTTTTCGCTGTATACGCTGGATAGAGAATCCCCTATTCTGTGCAAAAATGCCCAGTTATCTGAAACGGACTATGAGTCAGTTGCTGTGGCATAAGATATCGCAGCACGCAGATTAGGTTGCAGTAATGGGAGTAAAATCTATCAAGAAAATTTTGGCTTATATTGTATGGAATCATACTTTAAGATTTGTATGCCTTGGTTATACTTAAACCAAGCCGTGATATCAGCTGCTGCAGGGTTTAAGAACTCAGCATTGAAAGAGATGTCGTCAGCTACATTAGCAGTTGTTTACCTTTTGTTTGCTAGCAAACATGATCCAATCATTTATCTCCATTGGACAACGGGATCCCGGTTGCTTGCGAATGGAAAGTTAACAACTGCCAACTTAGCTGGCAACACCTCTATTCTATTGTGTATTGTATTTATACTGGCAATGAAATTCTACCAATCTTATCCTGACTATTCTGTTGAGCTTCTTCTCAGAGGCTTTCAATTCTGGAGCATATTTTCTCTCGACTGTGACTGTCGAGACAGACTATTGATGTTCTGCATTTCAACTGGGTTGTCAGCCACTGTATACCAGGTTTTACCCAACATTCCATTGCCAAAATTGGCTAGCTAAGCAGTATAGAACATAATAATTGATTGAAAAATCAAGCTACAAGCCAAAAATTAAACAAGCCATTAATATGTTTTACCCCACTTGGGTGGGAAGAATCCATTTCTGCTTGTTGTTTCTCTCTGGTTATTTTTGGAATCACATCTGCTGGGTCCTAGACATGCCGTAGAAAATGGTATCTCTGAATTCCATCCAATCAAAAAGCACTCCTCTCAATCTTAAACTCTCAATTTCTTTAATCTCTTCACGGATTCATGAAGCCATGTTCTGAAACTTATTAATTATTATCACAAAGGGACTTTTACAAGAATCAGTCACCTAGGTATTCAAATTTTCAAGCCATATCAGTTAATTGTGCGTTAAGGCTATCGTTCAAGGCCTGTCTCATGGCAAAGAAGTGTAATTCCTCAACCTGATGCCTTCATATTCATTTCCTTTGAGTTGTAACAATGAAACTGTATCCCTTATTGCATAAGCGCATACCTATGACGTTAAACTGAATACTCATACTTGGATCTTTATTTTTAATTAATTTCAGACTTGGACTGAGTGGAAATTGAGAGTCAAAAAAAAGGCAGCTGCCCTTTTTTTCAAGAAAACAGGAAACATAACTCCGGCAGATACTATTAACTCAGAATCGGAGGATGAGCTAGATGATTCATCCCACACCACTGGTTTATCTCCGTTAGAAGAGCAAATTTACCAACTTTGCGGCTCTCAGGACTTTATCGGAGCAGGAGAATCTGCAGAGATAGGCCTCAGCACAGCAGTAAGTCAATGTGTTGCTTAAATAAAAATTATGGCATTTTATGGTGTACAGCAGAAGTTATGAGGAACTATCAAAATAAGACTTAAAGTTATTGCAGAGTTTCTTGAAGGAGCTACTTGAAGGAGTCAACAGAAATATGATTTGTATTTTTCTATCATTATTTTTCGACTCAATTTTGATCACAGCCTGACCTAACTTTCCATGATGATCTTATACAAAACCGCCAAAAGCCTTTCATGAATTTAATCACGCTAAAAGTTTTATTTTCTGACACCCTCCCTTGTGCACCTATAATGTGAAGTCTCACCGCGCCACTCACCCACATATTGAAGCTAAAGAAATTTAAGGCACCGTCTTAAAAAATTCATGAATCTGCTAATTTCTTGGTCGTCTCACACAAGGCTGAACACAAGCCCCACCCAGTGGGTTTAAAGTAATTTTGAAAGTAATATGTAACTATGCAAATTCTCATGTTTACAGAGAGCATCTGAAGTCCAGCCATTTGACCCAAATAATATAGAAAATGCAACCGTTGAAATTGCCGGACAAGGTGAGCTCAACTCTGGTGAGAACGAAGATCTTGACAGCGGTTGGAATGAAGGATTTGACTCTTCTGAAAGTGAAGCTGACAACACAAGAGATGAAGGTATGTCTTACTTCTTCAACTAGGAAAATGGATTTCTAGACATTTTTATCTTGGAATAGTTTTTGAAGGGCTCTTGAAAGACTCTTTCTCTTATTTTTGGAGGAAAGTAAACTGCCGGATGAGGTGGATTTCACAGGAGTGTAAAATGTGAATAACATTTGGTGGATGACACAAGATAGGATTTGAGTTGGGGGCAAAGAAAAGGAGGTTGGACATATCTAAAAAAGCCAAAGCAAACTACGCGCCCTAGGCTCACTACTTAGAAGTCGTAAAATATTGTCTCGTTCAAGTTGGTAATTTTTTTCCTCTTTGGACCTGCCCATGAAAGATACATGCCACTTAAAGTATTCTCAAGAGGAATCGCTCAACAAGGTTATTTTCTCCTGTTGAAAATCGATGGTATCAAGGATTTTTTTTTTTTTTTTCCAGTGGTAATGGAAGTCAATGAGAGTGACGAATTGCCAATTTTTGTCATTGCTGAGAAACCTGCAGCACAAGATACGAAAAGTAGTAAAACCAAATCTGTAGCAAAGAAGAGGAGCTCCGACCCTAAATCTGGGAAGGAATATAAGGAAAAGAGTAAGTTCTTGCCATTTTTTTCTTGTCCATTATCCTATTTTTTAGAAGTATTGAGGTGTTATGTTTCTTTTGTGACCACCTTTGGAACTGAAGTTATGTTTTCTCCTATTGACAGCGTGTGAACAGCTGAGCTGAAACATGAGAGAAAGCTGGAAAGCTCAGTGAGTTTGACCTTAATGGGGGAAACCCAGCGAAGACAACAGCAGGAGAGAGTATCTTGAAAACGGCCTGAATTTTTCCGCAATTCGGTTCTTTCATGTTTAATATCATACCCTCTCTTTCGTACTTAGACATATTTTCAAATTACACAGGGGAAATTATGTTGGAAAGCTTTTTTTTTAACTTCTTTTTTGATTTTCTTGAAATAATTTATGATGATTCTTAGGCATGATTCAAAAGGAGTTTCCAGAATGTATACCAGATTTTTGTGAGAGATTTTTTGAACCGTTTAAAAATGTCGAAGAATTTTTAGTTAGTCCTTCAAAACTTCTTCATTATTATTTCCAGCAGAGGTGTCAGACATTTTTCTAGAGTTACTTGATAATTTTCCTCACCTCCTATGACTTAAAAATTTAAATTAATAACTAATAACAAAAAAACCAAACCAAGAATGCGAAAATGTCACAATTGAGTTACTTGTTTTATCAAGGATGCCCATCTATGTAGTAGACACCTTACCATTCGTGGAAGTATTTAAATTAGAGAATGGTTTCAAATAATTTTGTATTTGTTCCATGAGAGTATGACATAGCAGAAAGTTTTGGTATATTCACCAATTTTACTGGAAATCCTGGAAATAAAACTTTTAGAGCTTTAAAAAAAACTTAGAAATATTTCTCGTAAGCCGACTGTTACATCAGATTTATTGGTTTGTGTGTATTTTCTCTTACAGAGGGCCGCATGGATAAGAGCACTGCTAACGAGACAACAGCAGCTTACGTTGCAGAATGTTCAGCAATGACACAAGCATTGAAAGTAGGTATCTATTAAAGATGCAAATATGTTTGTATGTATCCCAGAATTTCCAAGTTATTCTAAAAATCTCAAATGTCTCTCACCTTTCGCCAGATTCTGGCATTTCCTTCACCATATTTTGAGAATGCATGAAAAATTAAGAAAACTTCGATTTCAGAGTAGCATCATTGAACAAAATGACAAATACTTGAAGTAACAGTGGGACTGTGTCTTTTTTCTTGTCTCATTTTTCACAAATTAAAATAATTTCACTTACAGCTGACAACGCAGTACCCCATTTACAGGTGTAAGTAGTGTCCTTTTCTCTGAGCATAAGTTTTCGTGGTGCAGAGCTGCTGCTCGAAGCGAGTAGGCTTTAAAAAAGAAAGAAAAATTGGATTGCTCCATTTGAAAGGAAAATCTCTGAGCCGCTCAGAATTTTAGAACTGCACCTCACTTTGAAAATGGGCTGCTGCCACAAAAGCATCAGCAAAAAAATCATTAAATTCTATTACCATATTATTATTAAAAGTTAATTTCACCATCATATTCTTCCCACAGGATTGCACAGAGGCTTTGAAATGCCATACTCAAGCTATTCTGCAGACATCGCCTCAAGTCATATCAGCCATGAACAATTTAGCCCAGTCATTTACTGATTTAGCTGACGTCATGAAGAGAGATGTACTTTGAATGAAGTCAACAAGTCCTCAATGTGTGATGATTTGTGCAACTATTTATCGGATTTCTTTTCTTGATTTAGTTATCCTAGTATTCATGAAAGTATTTATTATTCTGTGATTTTTCTCTGTATCATTTGGCGCATGCAGTTGAATGTAGGTGGTAGACGCCCCTTGATTGTGTATCAAAATTCTGCTTGACATGACTGCCATCAAAATGTTTTTCCCAACCAAGACAAAAGTGGAAGATATGAAAACTCTTTGGAGTCTCTGAAGTATTCTTCGCTCATTATTAATTCAATTTTTTTCTCTCTGACTCCTATAATGTACATATTATTGTTTATTACTAAAGGTATGTCCTTCATATTACTTTCTAATAGATCAAGAATCTAAAGGTTTCATTTTATGTTTTTCTCATTAGTTCTGATACTTGGCAGCTCAGGTAAAAAAATTTGGATATTGAAGCAGCGCTTCAGTTTTCGCTCACAAGTTTGTTACCTCTACGGAGGGACTCTTTCCTCTCTCAAAGCAAAAAGGTGTAAGACATGTAAATAAAATAATGGTTTCCGCAGGAACCAAAAGCTCAGAAATTATTGAGCAAAGGAAAACAATGCCTCGTCGTGCTCTCTAAGTCTTTCTTTATTCTCTGTGATAATTTACACTCCGTACTGATAGTAGACCAAGATGTGTTCTTTAAAGTTTTTCATACTTTAACAATATTTTGTAGTGATATTTGTAGGTTTAAGTCAACTTTGGTTCTCGTTAGTACTTAATTTGAGTAAGTTACCCAAGGCCTTAGTATATATATAATTTCCTAGACCAATGATTAAGTTCTTACAATGGTACACCTATTATTTTCGACTTCCCAATTTTCACTCATTCAACAAATCCTTAGGATTTGTTGAATGAGTGAAAATTGGGAACCTATAATATTAAGAAAATTCCAACTGCGGAACATTGCGTCTCTGCTTTGCTTGTTATAAAATTATCAACAGTAATGTTGTTTGGCCAAACAACCTTTTTCAGGTTATTTGTTGGGATTTGCAGGAGGAGCAAAACTAAAAAACTGAGAAAGAAAGAAGAAGAAAAAACAAAAAACCTGAGGTACCAGTACCAAATTTATGTTTAATTTCAGATAGATTTTTGTTATTTTTTCCTAGCCCCACAAAAGGGCTCATTAAGAGTCATTTTTTTTTTTTCATTTCTACTTTGTACTATTTACCATTGTTATTCATTATATATCGCTCTGTTTTCTTGCACTTATGAAACGTGTTACCTCGGTAGTCACAGAAGACTCGAGTTTATTTCTTAATTTTTCTGAATATTTGATCCCTTGTTTTGTTCACATTTCGTTTAAATGCTCTTTCCAAATTACTGACCAATTCTACATGTTGAGTGCTTTTATGTACCAAACAAAACTTGTAGCTTTTGTTAGTCATATTTGTTTTGTTAATTGTTTTTTCCTCCTCACGTTTGTAACGTAGTTCTAACTTGTGCAAATGATGCAAATATGTTTCTTCAAAGGGTCAAATAAATAAAGTCTTTATTTTCAATGTTACTTATGGCAAGTTTATTTCAGCAGATAAAGCAATTTTCAGTTTGATTTTCTGTAAATCAAGGAGATTTTTTGATCCGATTTACCACTTACCGACTAAACACTTAACAATAGCACTTAAAAAGCAACCTACTTATTAAGGCAAAGAAATTTAGGGTAGAAATTCGCTACGGCAAACAGACAGAAAACTAACTTCAAATTCGACATTGAGTTGAAAGCTGCAGAAGTAGGAGATCTAAAGTAGATAAAAGTTCCAACTTTCTATCCAATGATTCGCAATATTGAAGGGATTGGAGGACAACATACATAAATGGAGTTTTTGAAGAAACAAACAAAACTACTTTTGCTCTCTTCAAATAGAATGTTTGCTTAGTTTCAAACCTGATGTACATAATATTGTATCAGAATTGAATGTAGA